CTATAGTTGGGTTTGATTTCCACAGAAGGGAGACCCTCCCACTCCTCCCCCCCGCCAATTCCTTGGTGACTCAATCTGGGAAACTTCCATGGCTCCCTTTGTGTCTCAGAGGTAATCGCTGTGGCTAACCTTTCAGGTAATCCTCCCTGGCAGGGCTTGGGCCAGCTGCCCATCCTTAAGGGTCAGGAGAAGAGCCTGCGTGAGCCCAGATCATCTTTCCACCACTGAACAAACCCCCAGGTCTCTTTTTTCACTTCCTGCCTCTTGCTGCAGGAGAGCTGATGAGTTTGTGAAAATATTTCCTGGCTCACCTGGGCCATAAGAAGGGTAGAGGACTTTGTCTGCCCACTCAGGTCTTGGGGCAGGATGGGAGAGACCACCTGCTAAGCCTGTTAGCACCTGGTCCTAAAGGGAGGCCAGTGGGAATGTCTGTGCTCTGAATGGCCTAGCCAAGAGAGCCTGGGAGCTGGTCTAGGGACTGGATGTGGGCATGTTGAGGGGAGCCAGGAAGGCTCCAGCATAGTGACAGACTGAGAAAAAGTTCCAGATTGGGAGTCAGGAGAACTGAGTTCTATTTCTCGCTCTGTGGCTGTTTTGCCATGTAACCTTGGGCAGGACTCTCCCCCTCTCTGGGCTTCAGTTTCCCCATCAGTAAAATGGGGAGGAGACGGACTTGATTGTTTCCCATGAAAGGTCCCTTTCAACTCTGATGCTCTTTGCCCTAAAAACCATTGTCATCTGTGTTTGAAAGGCACAGTTCTTAAGAAGGAAACTTGCCTCACCCAGCTCCATCTCAGAGCCCCCTAAATCCCTGGGCCTCCCTCTCTTTCATCCAGGTGTCCAGACCCATCCCTAGCAGGGCCCGCTTGGGCTGGCCTCCCACAGACCACTTGACCCAACCTTCTGGGTGGACAAAGGGCAGAACTGAGGGCAGAAGTCTCACCCCGTCAGTGGAGAGGCCAGCCAGGATGGTTTCCCTGGTGCTCATCTCCTCAGGTCTGCCTTCACACCAGCCCCCACCTCCCCCAGTCCCAGGGCCCAGACTAAAACACCTATTTTAACAGCACCTTCTAGAGACAGTGGCCCCATTCATGGGAGCAGTTTTCATTGTGGAAGTCCAGGGTACACACTGTGAAGGGCTGGGAGGGAGAGTTGGGGGCAGGTGGCCAGCACAGGGCCTTTGCTGAGGCTGCTGCCCCCTTGACTGACCTGGGGGCCATGGTTAAGGAGGGTGAGTGATTAGGAGGAAGGAGCCAGATTTCCAGAGCTAAAGCCATGTGGATGGGGGCGGGGGAGGGGGGGCACCAGATTTGTCTCTGTTTCCCACAAGTCTGACTTGCGTAACTTTGGCTGGCAGGTAGAGGTGAGCTGGGGGGCCTGCGGGGGCTCTCTGAAGGAATTACCTCGATCCAGTTACTCTCTGATCAATCAGATCTTTGTGTGGGCCCCAGGCTGGACCAAGCTCTTCCCAGCTGACAAGAGGCCAATGCAAATAGCAGGAGGGGGCCCCAGCCTCTGGCTGCCCACAGACAGCCCCTCCCCTAGCCATGCTCCCCCCGGGGGTGGGCACCACCTTGGCACAGGCCCTTTGGCACATCCTACTATGGGGTCACGGAGCGTTAGTGACTCCATCCCCCAGCTCCCCTCTGTCCACGGTCTGGGGAGACAGAAGAGGGAACAGTGTCAGGCCAACAGTGGGTCACCTCTGCGTGGGGCCAGGCTTGGGGCAGGGAGGAGGTTTACCTGTTCCCTCCAGCCCAGCCCCTGGCACAAGGTGCCAATCAGCCAGAGGCCTCCTGTCCTAATTAATTATAGGCTGCTTGTCTAAGGAGAGGCGTGAACCCTCCCTGGGGCTGCAGGACCCTTCAGATGGCAAGCAGCCTGGGCGGAGGGGGTAAATCCAGCTGCCCTGGGCTAAGCTTCAGCTGTCTTATTCCTGAGATAAGGGAGGCAGCCAAGCCTTCCACCCCCAGGTGAAGATCGCTGCCCTTAGACAGCCAGGGAACGCTGGGGCTCAGGCCCACAGTCCCTCAGTGGCTGGGCCCCCAGAGCTTCAGCTCCTCTGACAAAGACTCCAGGGGCCAGGCCTGAGCGCAGTGGGAGGCCCCAGACAGGGAGTCTGAGTGATGCACGGCACAAACGTTGCCCGAGCTGCCTTGCTCACCAAGGAGACAGCCATCAGTAAAAGGCGCTTCGCGCCTCTAGTGGCCAGTGGTGGTCTCATGATTTTGTGGGCTTCAGGGGTCCTCAGGAAGCCGAGGCCTGCAGTGGGGGAGGGACTTGCCCAAGCTCGTCTGCCTTGTAGTCTGGGGCTGGAGGGCAGGGGACAGTGGGAGGAAGCAGATGCAGAAGGCCGCTTAGGATTCAGGACCGAGAAGTGACAAAGACTTCTGAGGATGCGATGGCAGCCTTTCCTGGGAGCTTGTTAACTCTTCTCTTACATGTAATACTAACCAGCCTGGTTGTCTGATTTCCTAGCCCAGGACAGATTAGAAGTGGCGAGCAGATGGGCGGTAGGGGGAGCCCCAGCGGCCAGACCCTAACGAGGCAGGAGACAGACTACAAAAATCAGCCCACGGACACTCAGAGCACAGCAGCCTGGGTTACTCACCGCTGAGACAGCCTGGGCAGTGGCTGCTGCTGCCTGGGGTGACCCCGAGGTTGTGCTCAGTCCCCTCCGCTTGGGAAGGCAGAACTGGAGGGAACCTCGGTGCTCACCAAGCCCAACTCCTCACTTGACACAAGAGGAAACTGAGGGAGCTCCCACATCACCTGGATGTGAGCCCGGTTCCTCTGACTCCAAGTCCAATGCACAATCCCACCCAGCAATGAGAGACCTTTCTTCCATGTCCTTATCACATACCCTCAAACCCTCTTTTGAGAAGGATTTCCAACCAAATGTTTAACATAAAAATCTTTTGGTGCTTAAAAGGGGGAACCTGACCCAGCCCCGGGAATTCCAGCCACGTGACTCATTCATTCATTCATGCATTCATTCATTCATTCATTCATTCATTCTTTCATTCATGCATTCATGCATGCATGCATTCATTCATGTATTGATTCATGCATGCATTCAGGTATTCACTCATGCATGCATGCACTGGCCATGCCCCAAGTCCTTCTTGGGTTGCTGGTCCTGGATTCTCAACTATTTAACCTGAGGGAGGTGCAGCGGGCAGGAGAAGTGCCCTGGAAGCCTCTGCTGAGACCCAGCAACAGCAGCAGCACCCCCCACCCCACCCCTGGCCCCCAACTCAGCATTTGTCCCAGGCAGATTCAGGCAAATGTCTGTGTCTTCTCCCACCCCAGATGGAGCACCTGGTCTAGCTCTGCTCTACACTTTAGACTGATGCTCTTCCCCATCCCCTGCCACCGCTGGGACAGGCCAGTGACCTGTGGAAAGAAGGCAGCCCTGGCCCTCCCATCAGGGCCCCCATCAAACTCCCCTCCAGGAGCTGCTGAGAGGGAGGACTCCCAGAGCAGGAGGCAGGCATAAACTCAATGCCAGTGGGTCCTGTCCTAGGCCTTGTTGGTCCCTGCCTGTCCTGCTACCCAACAGGGGTTCTGAGTACTGGTGCTCCCGCCCCTCAAAGCCAATGAGAGGTTCTAAAGCCCAGCTCTGGAGTCCCGGGTGGGGGCATAACAATGAGGGGTGTTGCTGCTGCCCCTCCTGCTTTGGAGTGCCCCTAACCTCCCACCCCACCCCAGGTGTCAGACCATCATGCTGATGGGTGCCAATCTGGCCTAGCTGGGCACCCATGCCCCCAGGGAGGGCTAAAAGACAGAGCTCCCCTTCTTAACCAAGGTGGGGAAGCCAGGCTTGCCCAGGCTAACTAAGAGCTCGTTGCCCTCTAGTGGCCAGTGGGGACCCCACAGACATGCCAGGCACTGCCCTTCCCAACTCACCGCTACCCAGTGACCAAGTCCCCTTCTGCAAAGGAGCTGACCAGAGAACTCTTCCCCCGAGCCTTCCGGCCCCTTTCCTACCCCCGTGGGATGCTGCATTTAAAGACTGGAAAGGCTTGGCCTGGACAGCTGGAACCCCTACCTTCCCGGGCCCAAAGGACTAGGACCCAGCTCTAGCCCTCTGAGGGCCAGGGAGTACAGAAAGCAGAGCTGGCACCAGCAGGGGTTGGTCAGGGGGGCACAGGGAGAGAGAAGGCTACCGGGATAGAGTCATGAGACCTTGAGGCCAATGCTGGGTCTGCACATGCTGCCCCTTCCTCATCTCCAAGCCTCTGTTTTCCCCTTGGACCCAGACAGGCATAGTCCATACCCCACTCTAACAAGTAGAGCACTCCTTGTATAGGCTATTTGGTGAGGTAGTGAGCTCTCTGTCCTTGGCAATGTTCGGATGGAGGCTGGGTGAACTCTGCCGGCGGGGGAGGCAGGGGAGGAATTCCTGCTCGGGACGCCCTTCCAGCTCCAAAATTCTCTTTACCCTATAAGGGCAGACTCTCCTTACTTTCTCAAGGGTGGGTCTCCTGCTCACCTGCCTCCCCCACTTTGAAAGTTCATGGCTCTGTCTGTCCCAAGTCCCTGCAGCTAAACCTGGGCCAGTTTTCTCCAGCACTTGGTGGAAACAGCATCAGCTTCCAACCGCTATCCAGCCACGGGCTGCCTGTGTGTCTCAGGGAGTTGCTCACACTCTGGATCTCAGCAGGCTCCAGAAGCCCCTCCCTGCTCCCCCGTGGTGCCCAGGGCTAGCGGCTGACCTGGAGCAGTGATCCAGGCAGGACACAGCTCACTTCTTCTCAGCCTGGGGTAAGCTTGCCCCCCCCCACCCCCACCAGACACTTTGCTGCTGTCGTGGGTATGAGTAAATGAGGCCCTGGGTCTCTCCCTGTGGCTCCCCGGAGAGAGATGGGGCAGTGCAGAGAGGAACATCCCAGGGGAGACCACAGACTCCCAGGGAGTTTGCTCATTGGAGACGGATAGAACAGGACAGGACTCAGATTGCAAAATGCTGAAGGTTTATTTCTAATCAATCAGGCGAACATTTTTGGGTGAGGAGAAGGAGCCTGATGGTGCCTGCCTGCAAGCAGAGCCCCAGCCAGGCCAGGGACAAGGGCAGGGAGCAGAGCTGTGCCTGGCACCCCACTCCCTAGAGGAGAAAGAGTCCGGAGCCAGATATGGCCCAGGCCTCCCAAATTCTGTTCGGAGACCCCCTTGCTTCTGCTACCTAAATTCAAATGGGTCTCAGAGAATCTTTCACTTGAAGCTTTTGGCTGCACAGACATTGGCTGGCCACTCAGGAAGCAAGACTGAACCACGGTGGTGTGCTGGTGGGGACTGGGGTACATAGCACAGATGTGCAGCAGATGCTGGGCAGGGGAGGGAGGAGCCGGGTCTCAGGGGCTCCAGAGGGGATCGATCAGTGCTTGTGACAGTCAGTGCTGTGGGCCTCGTGACGGATGCACAGAAACCCAACTGGCAAACCGTGGGGAAAGCCCAGTGCAGTGGGGCTGGTGTGGGTCAGCCCCAGACCCCCAGACAATGTCAGCTTCTCCTGTGGGACGCCCAGGAAACTAACGCATGTGCCTCATCCTGCCAGCCACTCGCTTATACTGGCATTCTAGCCAGACAGGACCAGCCATAGGTGGCAAGGTGGGAAGCTGCCTGTGACTCTGGAAGCATCCGGGAGCGGCCCCAAAGAGGCTTAAGCTGTATCAGTGATGGAAGTTGAAATGAGGAGGGAACAGAGATGTCTAGGAGGCTGGGCCCAGGGGTGTGGGGGCTTTGACCCCAGCCCTCACCCAAAGCAGTCCTGAGGCCCTTTTATCTCTGGGGCAGAGAGCCAGGTGCAGCTCTTCGCCAGTGCAGGGTCTGCTCATCCTGGTGAGCCGGGAGTCCCTGCTCTTGGCTCTGCTCAGGCTCCTGCTCTCGGCTCGGGGCTGACTCGTCCTCCTCCCTTCTCTTGATGTCCAGACTGTCGCACCGCACGCCCTGGCAGCCACACTCCTCCACCCGGGTGAAGGCAAAGGCCAGGCTGGAGCCATCTGGGCAGCTCAGGGACACGTTCCTCTGGCTGGTCCTCAGCTCTCGGCAGCACCGGCAGCGATGTTCCACCACATTGGCCTCGAAGGAGTAGCTACCGGGGAGAATCGGGAGAATGAAGCTGGGGTCTTGAGTGCCCAGGGCGGCCGCCAGATGAGCCCTCTGAGCCAGTCTGTGCACCTCTGCATTCCCTGCGCCTGCTCACACACACACACACACACACACACACACACACACACCCCTGGTCTGGCCAATGTGGGCTACAAGGAAAGGTTCAGCTCTTGGAGTCGGGAAAGCCCTGGGTTCAGACCCCATCACTGACAACCCTTATTGTGTGCCATCCAACCCCTTCTCAGCCTCAATTTCCTCATCAGTAAAATGGGCATGATAACAGCTGTAGGGACTGCCTCCCAGGGTTGTGTGAGGTTCCAATAAGATCATGTTCCTGAAGTGCTCTCCAAGCACCTCTGTGACCTTTCTCACTATAGCCACTCCTGGACACCCCGTGTCATCTTACTCGCAGGTTAGCCCATCCATCAAGCAACTCAAGCTAGACTTGACCCAGGAGACCACCTAGTCTAGGCCCCTCCTTGCACCAAGAATAAAACCGATCTGGAGAGGGGAAGGGATTTGGCCAGGGTCACGAAGCTGGCACCAGCGCCTCTGGCTCTGCCGGTCCACCGTGCCTTGCTACCCCATGGGCTCTGATCTGCCCAGGGGGACATTCAAAGCTCTCAGCCATCTGTCCTCAGCCACTGCCCCCCCGCCTCCTCCACTCTCATTTCCCGGCTTCTCACTGGCCCTTCGCTCCTGTCCTCCACCCAGGCCCTGCTTGTCCAGCCCATTAACGCCCGGCAGGCCCGAGCCATCTGCTCTCCCCTCAGGCCCTGGTTCCTGGACGACAGCTGGCCCAGGTCTTTGAAGGCAGGGGCCCCGTGTGGTGTGGAGCCCAGCGAGGCGAGGGTTGGCGGGAAGGGCCCCGGGCACTCACATGGACATCGTGTCGCCACAGTTCCCCTGGCAGTAGGTCACCTCCAGTGGGGCGGAGGAGCTGCATCTTCCCTTCCGGATGACTTGAGTACGGCGGCCCACGGCACACGGGTAAACCTCTGAGGCAGAGACAAAACATTCAAGGTCACAGCCTTAGGGAGCAGGTGGGGCCAGGCAAGGGGCTATGCACAGGTGGGCAGAGCGATGGGAGCAGGGCAGGGCCCGTGCCCAGCTCAGGCTCCTGGGTCAGGCCTCCGCTGCTGTCCTGTCTGGCTTCCCCGGGGCCTTCCCTCCCCGCCCCTGCCTCAGCCTCTCCTGGGGAAGCCAGACTTCCAGAGGGGCAGACAGCCAAGAAGGAAGGATGGAGGCTCACTTACGGGGCGGTGATGGGCACACGTGGCAGCAGCCATCTTCGCTCCTTCTGACTTGGTCCTGTCATGTGGGGAGACAACAGTCATTCACAGCCAGTGCCCAGTGGGACAGCGGACGGGAGTGGGCTGGTCTTGCCTCTGCTCGACCTGCTCTGCCCTCCTTTTCCCAGGGTCTTGGCCCTAATGGGATTTCCTTTGGCTCTCTAGAGATTCAGGGGTGAGGAGAGGAGGGGAGAACCCCCCCAGCCTCCAGGAGGGGACAGAACACGGCAGCCTCCAGGGAAACTCAAGGGAAGGAGGAGGCTTCTCGTAAGACCCACCTCTAGACACGTCCACCCCCCTCAGCCATGGACACAGGTCCTGGGCCCAGGGGGAGGCCCTGGTCATTGTTGTTGACTGGCTCCTTTGCTCCCTGGGGAACAAAGAAAGTGAGCCCTCTCCCCCGTGGGCTTACCGGGGAGCAGAGGATAGGGGGACAGGCCTTCTTCACAGTCACCAAAATGAGCTGGCCATTGACCTCTTCACACTCGTACTGGACACATTTATTCCCAGGCCTAGACCAGGATTTTCCTGGCTGATAGGGAGAAGAGAAAGGGCAGGGAATGACAACCCAGACTTGGCCCAGTCAGTGAGCATTTCTCTCCGGAGCCCTTCCTGTGTGCCCAGCCCTGGGTCCGGGGCTCCCCGCTGTGGATGGCAGCACTGGACAAGGCCGCCCCACCCTCCCCTCTTCCCTTGGGCATTCCTCTAGGGCATGGACCCTCTTCCTTCATCATCCCCTTACTGAGCCCCAACTGTATGGAAGGCCCCTGATGGGCTGGCACAGCCAGCCCCCAGGTAGGGGGGATTGTGGGGATGGACAGGCAAGTGCCCTGGCCTCAAGTTCATGCAGGGGCATGACTGGTAGGTGCTCTTCTGCCTCTGAGCTTGGACTTTACCCGCCCTGCCACTGAAATAGGCCCACCTGTGGAGCCCGGCAGGGGAGGGCACTTTGGCCTGCAGAGAAGAGGTTTGCCAAGTCTACGGCTAGGGGCAGAGCGGGAGGGAGTGCAGTGAGCCTGGCTCACTCACCTGGACCAGCTGCACCGAGCTGTCATTGGTGTGCACTGCGCAGGCCACTTGCACACATTTGCCGCAGCACCGGCCCGGCCTCTCTTGGTACTTGGAGCCCTATGGCACGTGGGGCAGAGGAGAGCCAGGGTGAGGTTCCCCCAGCTATGGCCACTCCCTGCCCCCCCCAGAGGAGATGCTGGGCAACAGGGCACTCACCGCTGGACAGTGGGTGTCACAGACTTTGGCCTTACATTTGATGACATAGGTCTTGGACTCTGGGTTGCCGTCAGGGACACAGCTGCATGTTTCACAGGGACCCGAGGATACCACAGCTCCAGGCTAGAAGAGGAGGCAAGAGACAGGGCCAAGGTTACCACCAGTGGGCACCATCTCTCCTCTCTTCTGCCTGGGCAGGCACTGGCCAGCTGTGAGGGTATGCAGCTTGCCAGGGGTGCCCAGTTGTCCTGGAGGATGGTGCAGCCCCCTTCCCCCGTATCCTCAGGGAGAACAGCAGGTGGAGGTGGGCAGTGGCCTCCGGGCCAGCCTGAAAGGCCACCATCTTCCTTCCTTGGAGTGCCGCTGTCTTTTCTTACTCTCTCCTAATTAAATTAAATGAACATTGACTGTCTCCCCTAGGCAAGGACAGAGAGGAGCCTGGTGGCAGGTCCTCTGCCTCTCTCCAGACCCTTCTCAGGGAGCCTCAGAAGACTGAGTGAGCCCACCGCTCTGGGTCCTGTCTGATAAGTGACTGTGCAGCTTTTGCCTCCAGTGAGGAGAGCCTGCTGCCTCCTGAGGCAGCCCTTTCCATGCTAGAACAGCTCTCCCTCTCCACCGCTGTCCCAGCTTGTGTTCTTTGGGTCCTCACCCTGGAAGGTCCTTCCACCCCTCAGCCCATCTTCCCAGAGCCCCCATTTTGAGAAGGACCCGGGCCAATCAGCCCTTCTTCGTCCCATGCCCCACTCCTTACTCTCAGGGCTTTGTCACCATTTTCCCACACGAGCACCTCCCCCTCTCAGCCGCCATCTTGCTCCATTAGAATGGAAGCTCCCTGAAGGCAGATTGTCTTTCTATTGGCTTGTATTTGTATCCCTAGAACTTAGTCCAGTGCCTGACACACAGGAGCCACCTGTTGACTTGACCTGACTCAGAGACATGCCTGAATCCCCTGCCCAGAACAGAAAGACCCCGTAGGCCAGGCTGGCTGAGAGCCAAGGCAGCTCCACAGGCCTGCACCTTCCAGACTGCTGCTATGCAAGTCCTAGTGATACCCTGAGGAACGTGGAACCAACGTCTCCTGCACATGCCATGGACCCCTGGAAATGCCCTCATTGTTAGCTCAGAGGGCACCAAGCCCAGAGCAAGAACAATGGGAAGAGCTGGGCCCAGGTGTGGGCCTGGGAAAGGGGGCTATGCAATCCGCAGGCTGGTGGTGGTCCTTCAACTCTTCCCTTATCAGAGCAAAGCAGAAGGCTGGAGCAGAGCATGGTCAGGAAGGACTAGAAGCCCTGGGCACCCAACAGCTCCAGGCAGAAGGAGCTTTCCCCAACCTTCCTTCCTTGGGCCCTCTGCCTGGCACAGAAATGCTCACCTCCACAGGCTGTCCATTGGGGCCTTTGCACCAGACTGAAAGAAAGGAGAAGAGAGGCAGGCTGTGGGTAGAGGCCCTGTTTTCAGAGGGCAGCTCTCAACCTCCAAATGCCCACTGGGTTGTGGTGCTTGGGGAAGAAGAACTTCATGGAAGCATCCCAGTGGGTTAAGTGGGGCAAACCCCAGGGCTGGCTGATGCACACACCTCCCGGCCAGTGATGAGCTCATTGGCCCTCTCATGCACCCAAAGCCAGCTTTCCAGAGACCAACCACCTTCTCTGGAAACCATTAGCTGATCCAGATGCCCTCTTGAGCCCCGTCTAGTTGGGATTCCAGTATTATGCCACAGGAGTGCAAGCACATCACTTACTGTGGCACTCAGGTGGTGTGGCTGGCACACAGATGTTGGAGTTGGAGCTGAAGAGGGTGGTACCATTGGGGCAGAAGCATCCTTCTGTTACTAGGCTGATGTCATCAGCAATGCTAGGGGAAAAGAGAATCAGATCTTGATGCAATCCTTCTCGGTCCTGGTTCCATCCCAGGGCCAATGGGGAAGTCAACAGCCTGTCTGGATTATCTCAGGTGGGAGGGGGTACCAAGGGAAGCAGACAGAGGCTTCTCCTTCTTCTCACAAACTCTAAATGGGGAACCAGGGCCAAGAGATATTCCACATGTGAAGTCAAAGAAGCAGGGTAGAGCCAGGTGTCCGTGGACCTAATTCAGCTACTTACATCAGGCTGGTGTTGATGCTACCCTGAGGATTCTGGCAGGTGGGTGTGTAGATTGGACCACACGGCTGGTATACTTTGTTACCAGGACAGGTAAGGGCTATATGAGAAGGGAGAAACTGCACTCAGGAGGCATAGCCTTGGAGCACTAACTCCCTCAAGAGCTGATCCCTGACTCCTTCCAAGTCCATGCCCTACCTGTGGTGCTCTAGCCCAGTGCCCTCTACCCATCCTGTGCTCTTCCTAGAAGATAATGTTCATCATGCCAACCCCAGATCCAGAGCTCTCAACCCCAAACTTCTGCCACAGCCAGAACCTTCACCTCATTTTCCTCTTTTCACTCCCCTACACCATGCTCGTCAGAGAAGTATTGGCTGTGGCACTTCCTAGCCATGAGACCTTTATTATCCCCATCTATAAAATGAAAGGGTTGGATTCTAATTAGGACCTTGTGACCTTAGACAAGTCCCTTCCTTTATCTCTAAATGGAGGGGAATTGGACCCAACAACCATTTAGAGCTCCTTCCCCCTTGTATCTAGTGATGGGATGAACTTCCTAAGCCTTCCAACTTTCCTCAGGTCCCCAGGTCAACTTAATCCTGTTTCCTGTGCCTGGCCAAAGGAACAAAGCAGGATCACTCACAACATAGACCCTGGGTCTCGCGCCTCCAGTCAATACACACGCCTTGTGCTGCACAGAGGGATGCATACAGCTCCAAGCCTGAGCACCACACTCTGTCTTCAGGGATGTGGCATTGGTCATACACACAACCCTCAAAGTAGGGCTCTGGTGGTATGACACGATGGCATGCTTCAAAGACCCTTTAAAAATGGGAGCCAGAAGTCAGCAGTTGATGGTGTCATGGGGGTGCTCAGGCAGCCTAGTCTGGGCTCATCTGAACCTGGCTTGGGCCATGCAGAGGGAGCCTGGCTCTCAGAGCCTTCCCACAACCAATGGAACCAAGCCATTGGAACCAATGCCTCTTTGCCTCGGTTCACATGTGTTAGACTAACTTCTGGGTTAGAATGGTGGAACTGTCAAGCAGTGCGCTTCCCCCTCTTCCCTGTTCTTCCTAAGCATCTCCTCAGGATTCTCACAGCTCTCTCAATAAACCCTTTCAAACTTCCCACTAATACTTGGTAGAGGGGCCTCTTCTGTAAGGAAAGGATTATAGAATCTGAGGCTGTGAGGTACATGTAAGTTCAGTGATCCCTACCACCTGCCACTCCCACCCAGTGCCCAACTCCCCTCTGCAACATCTACAAACTTCACCTCAGAGACTGCTGGTCACAGAGGGCTCCCTCCCTCACCAGACAAATCACTCTTCTTGGGGAGCCCCAGGTTTTAGAGAGCTCTTTCCCAAGCGGAGCTGAAATTGGACCCCTGTTCCTATCTCTGCCTGAGTCTACATTTAACCCTTCGGTCCCCAAGTTCCTTTCTGTGCTTTTTGGTTTCTTACTTGCTCATGATCAGCATGCAGAGAAGAGAAGGTGGGCATGACTTGGGTGTTGTATGGGAAGGCATTGTGGGGATGGGGGTGGGGGTGGGGGATGGTCCATGGCAGTAGGGCTGGTTGGGCACATGATACTTCCAGGAGCCAGACATTTCGGAGCAGGAGGATACAATCTTCCCATCAGGCAGGCGGCACTCATCTTTCTTGTCATTGGTGCATGTCCCTGCAGGAGAGTATATGGTGTCACTAAGAGCTCAGGAGAAACCTACTCAGAGATGGCGAAGAACTCTTATGAAGCCCAATCTGTTTGTCTGGAGGCAGCAGGGCCTGAAGGGAGCCTTGTGATAGAAGCCAGGACACCCGGGTCCTGACTCACTACCACCACAAGCCTTACATAAATCAACCTGCCTCAGTTACCCTGTTTTATCTCTGGGCCTAGAAATAAAATCAGGATAATGTTCTCATGAGGGCTCCAGCTGCTAATTCCCTGAGATTTTCTTGGGAAGGTAAGGGCATGGGACATCAAGGCCTTCCCTCAAGCTTACCTTCAAATAGGTATTAGGCCCAAGCCCATACAGGTACTCTAGCCAGCCTGGCTGCCCAAGTCCAGCCAGATCCCTCGTCAGCAGAGACACCCCATGACTTTTTCTCCTTTGGGGAGTAGGCACATGGATGAGGCCATGAGCGCTCAGGCACTTACCACACTGCCCTTCTGTGTTGTTGCCAAACTTGGTGAAAGGCACCTCAACCGAAAAGAGCAGCCCGCTGAACATGACCTGGACACCAATCTCTGGGATGGTGACAAACATCTTAATGCCCAGGGTGGAGATCACAATGCCATCTTTCTTGAACCCTGCACTGACAGTCATGTTGTTGAAGATAACCTGGGGGCAGAGTCATGGTTAATGACCAACAATGAGTCAGAGGGACTGAGCTCAGGGGTGGCTGCCCCTGCTGAATGTGGCTCCTATTCCAATGCTGGCTCCTTTACCTAACTCAAATACCTCCTGGGGAAAGGAGCTGGACCAGAGAGCCTGGCAGGTTGTCCAAGTCAGCACATGTGAATCACTTGGTTATTCCACCCCAGCCCTGGGGAAAAGGATCTGTGAGGGCCCTCTCTGTACCTCAGTACCACATGGAGCATCCTTGAAGCTATCCTCCATCCTGCACTGGCAGAGCCTTCAGGGGCCCTGGTGCAGTTCCACCCACAAGGAGAGGGAGGAGGAGGGGAAGAATGAACCACCGTTTGTCTCTTGCTATCACCAAGGTTGTTACTGTCCTGTTGCCTGGCATGTGCCCTTGCTGAGAGTCCTGCTTGCTGGGCAGGGCTATACCCTCATTCTGTGTGGTGATCTGGGCCCCCCTCCTGCCTCCCATCTGGAGTCCAGGACACCAAGAAGCAGCTCAAATGAGCAGGCAGCAACAGGTCCTTTTGCATAGCTGGGACCTCCCAGGGAAAAGAAGCCCTTCCCACCTCATTCTCCATCACTCCATGGACCACAGTCCGGATGAGCACAATGCGATTGCCTTTGTACTCAACAGTGATCGACCGAGGGCAGGACAGGCCATCCTGGGCACCACAGAAGTAGTTGTCGATGAGCACCCGGAAGTGGTCGTAGACAGAGTGGATTTGCTGCACTAGCACATATGTGCAGTTGTCCAAGAAAGTGTAGTAGATACCATCAAAGGTGATGTAGTGAGGATCTCCCCAGCCACTGCACACACCTGGCAAGAGGAGGAGGGGGAAGGGGGCCAATGAACTGCATGCAAGCCACCAGAGACCCTTCCCAGTGAGGGGCCATGGCCAGCTTGTGCTGTCCTTCAGGGGCATGAAGGGTAGAGGAAGGTAGACAATTCTGCCCTCAGCCTCTGCTGACTGGATTTGTTAAGGTGTGTATAGTGAGAATCTCATGTTCCAGGCACCTGGATTGCACTGAACCCATCCCCTAGCCATTGGCAAGGCTCTCACCTGACGCACGGGTCCTCTACACAAGTCCTTTAGCATCTAAACACAACATTCCTGGTTCTGGTGAGTGCCTGTGTGCCCTATTCTGGGGGCAACCAGAAACAAGGAGCAGGTCCCCTTCCCTTGAATCCTTCTAAGATTCAGAAACCTTGCCTTTATGCTCTTTACATCGGCCAGAGCAATAACTGGGATTTTTGGCCCCAGGACCTGCTTCTGACATAAATGAGAGCAGGCATGTCCTATTTTAGGGAAGGTGGGGGGGTGGGGTGCTGCCTCTGCACACAGCCACTGGTAGGCGCTACCAGGAGAGGGACAGCAGGTCCTAGGGAGGGGGTGGAATGACAGAGTAGCTTCCTCTTTGATTAGTTATTCTGGCTAATTAGGCGCTAATCTCTGCTGCCTGCATGAAGCTGAAAAACTGGTAGCCGCCTCAGTTCAGCACTCTGGACACATCCTCCATTGGCCTCTACTCACTGTGGAGCCATCAACTTGGGCTGCATGCGAAGTCACTCACATTGACACTCATAATGGTAGCAGCAGTGGTCAGCATCATCATAGACCTTCACAGGGGGGTAGCCATTAGCACAGGACATCTTCTTTACCACAGGGCAGCTCACAGGTGTTAGCGTGATCACATCGTCACCCTCGCAGGTGGCTTTCTTGCACTTGTGTATGAACCAGGTCTCTCCTTTCTGTGAAAGAAAGGCCACAGATTTGGAACTAGGGTCTGGAAGCTCAAGTGAAGGCCCAGAAGAGGGGTGGGGGAGCAGCTCCTGTGATTTCCTGATGTGATCAGTTTCAGGACTCTTCTCTAGTGTGCCATTCAGAAGGAAGGTACTAAACATTTCCTTGTGTTTCTCCTTCAGAGAAGGCACATAAGGGAGTCACCAAGTTTGTGGAGGCCCCTAGAAATCCATTTACAAATCCCATTAGTAGAGCATCTCTCACATTCCAGTAGAGAAAGGGAGCCCTTTATGTGGACAAGAATGGGTCTTCTTCTAGTACTTGTTCTGTTACCTCTGTTTGGCTACAAGTTGTTCCTGAGACCCTTTTCACTTCCAGCCTTGGGACAATCCCAACACCTCTATCTGTGGCTCTGGCCTCTCTCCTGAGATAACTGTTTCCCCTCGAGCATTCACCCATTACTTCTGACTCAGCATATTCAAAAACTACCATTTCCCTCAAAGCCAAATTATTCTCTCCATTTCTTTATTTCTTGTGATAATCTTCCCAGACACTCTAACTTGAAATTCTTGAGTAATTCAAGTGAATTTTGGAAAATTCCTATACAAAACTCTTGAAACCATGCCCCAACAAGGTCAGTCCCTGCTGTGCTAAAGTCTAAAGAAGGCAGAAGATGTCCAACTAACTTTTCTGGGTGGTACTGCATTCAGACAATCTCTTGATTTTGTCGGTGAAACGGGAGAGAGAGATGAAGATGCTGATGGCAATGTGAAAGGAGATGGTGACGTGGCTGTGGCTGTGGCTGTGACTGCCGATGCAGGGGTTGATGATGATATGGATGGGACTGGAGCAGGAGATGAAGTGGGACAGATTACTGCTACCCTTGTCACATTACAGTCTTTGTTGCAAAAGGCAGAGTAGCAAAGCCCTGCGTGGTCTGTCTGGTTGTATATGAGAGTTCCTGTGAGATAAAAATCAATGAAGGTGTACTTAGAAAACCAGTGGGAATGAAGGGGGAATGCTAATTGCAATTGATTTTGCTGTTATTGCTAGAGGAATATTTGTTTCATGCTGGTACCACTGTCAAAGCAAACAAACCAGCAAAGTAAGGAAAGGGGAGGGATCAGAGGCCCTCCATAAGTTGGCATAAGGCTCCATGGCCATTGGAAAAGATTTTGCAGCTCTCAGGGGAAGTCATGGGAGGAAAGCAGGGCAAGAAGAAAGACCCTCAGATTCCGAGGAAGGAAAGGATAAGAGGAATGAAACTGAAGGGATTGCGGAATATCAGAAGTACAAATAAGTGAGACAGAAGTAACCTATTAAAAGGCACTTACCAGATCGATAGACTTTCCCAGACAAGTAACAGTAACAAGATGAACTCGACTGCGTAGCAAAGGTAGAAAAGGTTGTAGAAACATGGAGAGGTGGGAAAGTACTATATGGAGGAGAGGTTGTGGCTGATGTATTGCTAGGAAGGGTTGATGGAAAGCTTGAGCTGGGCACTGGGGAAGGACAGGATTCCATTGGCTCACAGCAGAGGAC